TCTGATCTGCTTCATAAAACTTGTTGTCTGCTTTATGAGGTTTCTAATATGCTTTAAGAAACTTGTGGTTTGCTTTAAGATTCCTAGTATGCTTCAAGGAATGTGTGGTATGCATTATGAGGTTTCTGGTATACTTTAGGGGACTAGTGATATGGTTTATGAGGTTTCTGGTCTGGTTTAAGAAATGAGTGGTCAACTTTGAGTTTTCTTATCTGTTTTGTGAATTTTGTGGCATGGTTAGATTCTGGTCTGCTTTATAAGCTTTCTTATCTACTTTTTTGTTATTTGTGGTGTGGTTTGTTGTGTTCTAGGTATGTGTTTTGTAGTATGCTTCATGATAACTGTGGTGAGGGCGGATTTGCTTTTTCGGAAAATTTTCAGACGAACAATTTCAATGATATCTTTCGATTTCCTCAGCGCTGAGGAACATATACTAGGGTGTATGTGCAATTCGTTTAGATCATGAGCTGGGACAAGAGAGAGGAAATCATGAAGGGGAATAAATGAGCAGCACCACACGCGTGTTCCATTTATAATTTTAAAAAATTACAAACATGGTCCTCATTTTATAAATCAACATTAATTTGGTCAATTAATTAAAAATAAATAAAAAGTTATCAAAATGAAATGTTCCAATGAGTTAAAGATTTCATTCATTAGAGATTAAAGTATAATATCGTGATTGTTACACGCGAAACCAAATATCCACCGTCGGGCGTGCCAAATTATTTCGGGCGATGTTGATTTGATTGTTTCACGTTGGGAACTTTCGCGGTGTGATTGGATGCACCACTAACTCCTGAAATCAAGATGACCGTCAAATATCCACCGCCGGACGTTCCAAATTGTTTCGGGAGGTGTTGATTTGATCGATGCACCTCTGACTTCTGAAAACCAAGACGACTGTTACTCGGTTCACATCTCTCCAAACAATGTTCGAACCAGGGTGTTTGAGTTTTTGAGGGAATTTATGTTAGATCTACTCATATGGAGATTCATGTGGAGAGCTCCGGGACTATGCTACGACTACGACTATGGAGATCCTTCCTGGAAAGAGAGCTCCGCGAAGGAGTTGCAGAGAAAAGGAAAAGTTTGAAAGATGTTGTTCTATGTTGATTTTAAATTCTCCCATCTCGCTCCTTGCTATGATGATTTTATCAAAATCACTTCCGTAGTCTTCACGTTGTGAAACCGCCTCATCTTAGTCTTCCACGTGCTGCATCCTTCTTCACGAAGTTGTAGTCTTCAACTGCTTCGCATCCGTTCTCCAATCTTCCTTGCGTAAAAGTCACGTGCACACACATCAACTTTGTACCACGGTTCAAATCACGACATCACTGTCGATTAAACAACATTGTTGTTTCAACCCTCGCCACCGCATACTCGTCGCGAGGTTGTTGATCTCTCGGCATCGTTGACCACACAACACTGTCGAAACTCGCAACATCGTTGATCTTGCAACATCGTAGAGCTCGCATCAACCACACGATGTTGTTGGTCCCACCTCGAGTTGTTGTCCTTCTAATTGAGCTCGAGCCCGTGAAGTAAACATTGTGGTTTGACAATCGAGCTCGAGCCCGTGAAGTCAACATCGTGGTTCGAAACGCCTACCTCCCAGCCACATGGTCGGGATGCGAAGTCGTTGGATCCCCAAACTAGTTATGGCAAAACAACGTTGTTGTTTGCCTCCACAACATCGTCAAACTTGTAACATTGTTTAGCTCACGATGTCGTTTAGATTCGCATCATTAATCTCACGATGCCCCTGATCTTGTGGTACCGTTGAGTTATGCGATTTTGAACTCGTGCTATTGTCGAACTCACAACGCCACGAGTTATTCGCGACATTGCTTTGCTCCACGACGTTGTCAAACTTGTGACGCAGTTACACTCGCGGCATTGCTGACCATCACAATGTTGTCTAACTGACATTGCGACACCCCGCTAATGTGGTTTTAAGATGAAATTATTTTCAGGGGTAAACAGTGACTTAAACCGGATAGCTAAACTCGTTAGGCATGAGGTAAAGATAACTGGATATTAACCAACATCATGATCCCATCATCATTCTAACATTAGTTACCACTAAATGGTGATTCACTATCATCAAAACCTAGGGTTGGTAAGTTTGAGATTGTCAATCCGAGGGTAAAAAGCCATGCTTAACTCTCACTCGTGCAATGAAATAATCATTATTAGGAGGGATCTTTTGAAAAATAAAGGACAAAAGTTTTTAGTAGCCATGATCAGTTCATCTGTTTAATAATTAATGCATAAAAGGTTGAAAGAGAAATCTTGATTAAAGGAGGAAAGCCTTCAATTCCCCATTGACTGATTACCAATCACACCTATAAACTCTCGGTTTCATGAGGGACAATCAAACAACAGTAACGTAATAATGAAAGTGAACTCTCAGCCAATAGCAGGATTGTCGGCAGGGATTAAGAGCATAAACCTGGCTCTAATTAAACAACAAGATGTGGATTAAGGAAGATAACAAAGGCACGTGTTAGGTGTTGGAACTCTAATCGTTTTGAAAATGATCATTCATAAAATTTTGGAATAAGTCTTGTTTAAGTTTTTAGGACTCAAATTACAGGTGATTTTGATAGACCTAATATGTATTTATTAACACATACACGTCTACATGTCCAATATTTTATTGATCGCAAACTGAATTACTGTTCGTGCAATTTTTTTCAGTGAATCAAATTCTTGTATCACTCAAAACATATGGCAAAAACGACTCAATCTGGTACAAAGAAGGTAGAGTCAAAAGACTCTATGTGGTAATTGGTAAAGCTATACTCTACGATACAACTTACAGCACTTCTACTATGCTCTATAGTATTGGTGCTTTAATGTACAACTTGAAATTGTACCATAATATTAAATGTATAAGTTTAGGTTGTACCATAAAGGAATTTGTATCATTATGTTATGGTACAACTTTACAACTTGAAGTTGTACCATGACATAAAGGTACAAGTTCAAGTTGTACCATAAAAGAATTTGTACAAAAAGTATAAGTACAATCTGAAGTTGTACCATAACGTAAATGTACAATTTCAAGTTGTACCATAAAGACAAAAACCTATAGCACCAATACTATATAGCATTGTAAAATTCATCACCAACTTACTAGTAACATCCAACCATAGTTAGTAAAATGCGGTACGAAAAAGTTACGTATATAATACCTACAAGTATTTTACTTCATATGTAACAAAAGTTACGTTTAATAGTACGTTAATTAGTCATAAATATATAAAATTAATTATTTATAAATAAATAAATAAATAATAGTAAAGTTAACATTTTAATTCAATAAATACAGATATTAAACGTGTTATAAGGGTTTTATACATGTTAAGTACGTGAGCTATCAAATGAATGGAAGAAAATTAAACGACTTGACAATAATATGGATACAGAAGTTTTAAACGAATAAACTATGTACGGGTACATATACGTGTATTAAACGGAGTATCCAACTATCTCTAAAAAACAATACTCTATACATACCCAATCTCTCCATGTTAGCTTTCATATTCATTTGCATTAGACGATGCTAGAAGTAGGTGTGGAACGGTCCGATTTGGATCGAATCAAACTCATGAGAAGCGTTGTCCATTAGTGAAAGATATCTTAGAATCAAGGACCAGATTATTATTACATTCGATCTATTTGGTTCGGTTTGGTCTAGTCCAAATATCAGTTCAATCCATCATTTCTTCAATAATTGTAAAATTCATGAGGACCAATAACCAGACCGCATTATACTCGATCAGGTACGATCCAGTACGGACCAGACCGTTGCTCACCCCTCTGCTAGAGCCTAGAAGCACCAAGTCACTTCGTGAGCATATTAGCTAGTCTTGCAACTTCACGCCTGTGTAGCACTATGTATACATCGACATTGTTCCTTTCATATATATGTCACTATGGGGTGGTTTGAAGGTTGAGATTCTCCAAATTGATCCTTTCATATATATATGTCACTATGGGGTGGTTTTGGATTATGGTGACAGATTTGGGTACCAAATCCAACCCATCATAGATTAGGGAAGAAAACATGTTTTTTGAAAACTTTTGGGGGCCCGAATTTGCAAAAATCTGGTCATGAGGTGAGATTTGAGAAAGGGGCATAATCCATGATGGTAAATGACTAATATACCCTTACTTAAAATTTTTTTACCATTTTCCCAGAATACCACATGTTATTAATTCTGATTTCAAATGCTCGAAAGATTCGAAATTTATAGGAATTGTGGACGAAGATTATTTTCAAATACTTGATGCTTCAAATTCATTAAATATTAATTAATTCACTATACCTTTTTTTCTCACTAAGTTGGGATAAGATTAAAAATGACTCTACCTTGATTAGGAATTGCTTTCAATCGGTCAAAATTCGTTTATATGAAAAACAAATAACAATAGAGAAACAAAGCAACAAGGTAAATTGTATTCAATATTACAAATCTAATTCATCAAAATCTGTTATGAAATCCAGCAAGCAAATTTTTTTTGTTTTATGAATACATCATGCATTCTTTATACATGCATTAAGTGATTAAAAAAAAGTAAAAAAAAAAAACATTGTATTATACAGAATATATGTATACTTAAAATACAATCTTTAGAATCAGATGTTCCAAACGAAGTCCTTAAAGTTTTCCAAAATCCAAAATCTAACCAAAATACTCATTTTTTTAAATCCAAGAAGCAATTTACCATTTAGTGCGATGCAAATGTGAGATACATAAGCGAATTCAAGTTTGAGGGTGCCGGAACCGGCTATAGCATGGAAAAGCCTGAGCTACAACCGACAGGTGGCAGCGAGAAAAGCAAAAAAAAGAAGAAGAAACAGATCCTCTCCAATCCAATCCAATCCAATCCAATCCAACACTCCAACGCACATGGTTGGCTCCCAAATAGACAGAGAAAGAAAGAGAGAAGGCTGTGCGCTGTGGTACGAGATTCAAAACTCTTTTTTTTTTATTACGGGAAGCCAAGCAAAGAAGGAGGGAGGGGCAAATACTGGAATTTTTCCCGTTGTGGTCTCCACTCTCCTATATATATAAACATTTCTTTTGCTCTGCTTTGCTAGCTAAGCCTTTGCTTTGCTTTTAAAACGGAGCAACCCACCACTCCAGAGGGGAAGACGAAGAAGAGAAGTAGCTCCTACTCATAGATAGCTTACTCTAGCCTCTAGCCCCCTTCCTTCCCTCTCTCTCTCTCTCACTATAAAATCAGGGCGAGAAAGTTCCAGATCAAGACCCGCAACCGTCAGCTCGAGGTCACCATCGCCAATTTTTCTCCTAGATCCGAAGCTATCACTGCTTCGTCAGGGGAAGCCGAGCTGAAAAAGCGCGAAGAAGGAAGGAAGGATGGAGAGGAGTACGCCGGTGAGGAAGCCCCACACTTCCACTGCAGATCTGCTCACCTGGCCGGAGACTCCGCCTCCCGAATCTCCGTCGCTCGCCTCCGCTCCTCGCTCCGCCGCCAGGTCGCACCAGGTACACCTTTATTTCTTCTTTCTTCCCCGACTTCATTTAGATGCTCAATTGGACTTATCTTTCTTATTGTTGTTGTTGTTAATCAATTTCCGGAAGCCGTCCGATGGAATCAGTAAGGTGGTGTTCGGAGGTCAGGTGACTGATGAAGAATCTGATAGTCTCAACAAACGGTGTGCTCTCCTCTTTCCCATTCTCTGCAAGATCGTTCTGTTTCTGTTTTGATTTTCAAAAATTTTTAAACGTCAATTGTTTTTTTTTTTAACTGCTTGCACTTCAATTTTTTTTTTGTATATTTATAAATGTTTTCCCTTCAATTCATTGGTAATTACTAATTGTTGCTGAGATTTCCGTTAAAAGTCGGTCGATTAGCAATATAGCCGTTACAACGGATCTCTATGCGGATCGGGCGGAAGATAGCCTCAGTTGCGGCGCATTATATTCCTGCTGTGAATATCACACTGCAAATTTCGATGTGATTATGGAGTCTGAAGTATCTCCTTTGCAACTTGTTTGCCTGCTTTTGGTCTATCAATCCTTGGTTCGATGGTCAATTGGTAGTTACTAGTGTGACCACGGGTTAGAAACTTGAGAATTGTTATGGCGATTCTGTTAGGGTTGTATGCTATTTCTTTAATCGTAGATCAATGGGGTTTTTTTTTGGGTTGAATTGGGAAATTTTGGAATCTTTAGGGTCGCTCTTCAATTAGTTGACTTGAAAAACAAGCTTGTCCTCAGCATCATTAGCGAATTTTCGATCATTCGTATAGCAATTTCGAGATGATGTGTACTCTTCCTGTTTGAGTTTGGTTGTTATACTCTGAATAAAAGGCTAGATAAATTTCAGCTACCCATCAAAGGGTTGTAAAAGTGCTGCGTTAATTCTGGGGTTTTAGGAACACTTCTATCTTCTTTCACTCTCTCCTTTCCTATTTCATAACGTTTCCATGATGGATTTTGCATTTCTGGGGTTCCAGTCCACCATGTTCTGGGTACAAGATGAAAGAAATGACAGGCAGTGGCATTTTCTCTGGTAAGGGAGAACATGAAGATGATGAGTCCGGAAACGCAAACCTTACCCCTAATGTGAGAACCGGGATTAAAATGTATCAGGTCAGTGTGCAGATCATGGGTTATCAAATCGGTGAAGTTGTCGCAACAAAAAACTTGAGATAACATATACTCTGTTATATGTTTTCATGGTTCTTTATTTTACAGCAAACTCTTGCTGGAATCAGTCACATTTCTTTTGGAGAAGAAGAGAGCGTCTCTCCTAAAAAACCTGCTACCTTGACTGAGGTGGCCAAGCAGCGGGAGCTAAGTGGTACCTCGGAAAGTGAGGCCGAGGCAGAGGCAAGGCTAAAGAAGCAGCTCTCTAATGCTAAGTGCAAAGAGCTGAGTGGAAACGACATTTTCGCACCTCCACCAGAAATTTTGCCACGCCCTACCACTGTCCGAGCCTTGGCACTCAAGGAAAGCATAGAGCTGGGTGAACCCGCTCTACGAGATGTAAGTCAATCTCTGTTTAAATTATGAAGGTGATATTGCTACAGATTTTTATTATATTAATTGTTCCTCTCCTGTTCGTTATCATTAACACTGCGAGAGAGCATTATGGGACGCTCCCTAGTGATACTTAACAGACTCATGTGATGCTTGATATGTCAGCAATTGCCTCCCTAATGAGTGACTTTGAGAATCTCCATGCCAGTTATTAGCAGTTGCTAGTAAGTGATGTGACGCCTGCTTGGCATTGCAAGCAGCAATTTGCTAATGTGGATGGACTTGCTACTTAGCTTGATTCCTAATTTAGCAATTCCACTCATCCCACATGACATTAGCTTTCTTCTTCCAAATATTTATAGGTTTGTTATTTGTTTGATTAAACTGTAAGTCGAGTGACTATAATCATTTAAAGTATGTGTGGGTTCTAACTATTGAAATGGTGAAATTACTTAACAATTTTTGAAATTGCTACTTGATTGAAGTACTTGGCTAAGTCTTGCTGATATGGTAGTAACAGTTTTGAAATTGCTACTTCATTGATTGTAAGGATGAAGATGGTCATTCTAATGTGAAGCTTTAGACCCAATTCTCAACTCCCCTAGTGAATAGGAGAACAAGTACCTCTCCCTGAAAACACCCAGTCTCCCTCCACTAAGCCTTTAGAATTGGTGTTTTTTTCCTGAAATATGTGTTACCCCAGTGCTTCTCTGTTGTCTTAGCATTGTTTGATAGATTGAAGAGGTCTCTCACTGATTTTATTTATGCATCTGCTGCTTTAGCCTGCTGGAGGGCAGATGTCGTCAGAAGACAACCTGAAGACAGCAAAGAAAATTTACGACAAGAAGTTCTCCGAGCTCTCCGGAAATGATATCTTCAAGGGCGATGTGCCTCCATCGTCGGCAGAGAAGCCCATTAGCAACGCGAAATTGCGAGAGATCAGCGGAAACAACATCTTTGCTGACGGGAAGGCAGAGCAGCGGGAGTACTTTGGCGGCGTCCGGAAGCCTCCTGGTGGGGAGAGCAGCATTGCCTTGGTTTAACGTTGGGGGTGCCTTGCTTGCTTGCCTGTGTTTTAGTAGGAAGGAGGGGTTCTAACTGTGTGTTTTTCAACTGGTTTGCTGGGTTCTCTTTCCCCCCTTTTGTTTCTACTCCTCCTAGTGGTGATCTGTTGAATATGATGATGTTATTAGTATGATTATTACGATTATTATTTGACTTTTTTTTTTCTCTGGTCTTCTGGGGTTTTGCCCTTTGTGGGAACATTGTTTATTATGCAGTTAGTTGACTATGTGACTGATGACATATTTGGAGCTGATTTGGTGCTGAGTCGTCATTGTCCAAACCCTTTTGCGTTGTGATGTAAATTTCCTTTTTGAGTAACCTACAGTATTGGGAGGACTCCAAGCTTGATAAGCAGTCGTGAATGTTGATATTTTTCATGGCTCAGGAGTGGTTTTGTTATGCTTTTGACGAAAACGAGTGACTTGATTTCTTCATTAGTAGAGTTTGAAGTTGGGCAGAGATTCACCTAAAGATCGTCGTGGAATATATTTTGGGTCCGTTTGCCTTTGTTAGTTGTGTGATTCAATATACAAAATTTAATTGAACAGAAATGATAAAAAAAATCTTCAATTTGAAAACAAAATAGAATTAAATAGTAGTCAATTAGATCGATTCGATAGGTCTAAATAATGATTGAGTTATATTTAGTGCATTATGATGCAATGGGTGAATCTTGGGTAACCTTAGTAGTCTATGAATTTCTTCTATTGTGGACAATTTAAACACGCACGCAAGGTTAGCACTCGTTTGGGAGGAGCGCGAGCTTGCGAGAGAGGCGAGGGAGTCGAGGGAAAAGAACGTACATGAGATGGCGATAAAGATTATGGATCTTTCTCAATATAGCCCTAGAGCTATAGTTTGGTACGAGAGGCAAAAAGATGAGATTGGGGCTTCGTATAAAGTTGCTTCAAATGATGACTCTTATTATGGTCTCAACATGTAATCTTTTAAGTGTATTGCTTTATTTTGAATGTATTGTTTTATCTAGCTTAATTTATGGTTGATATACGCTTCATTTCAATTGTAATTCCTCAATTAGTAATGCAATTTTTATTTATTTATTTAAAGCATTACAGCAAGGAAAGAATGCATTAATACAACATGGGAATATATTAACACAACATAGGGAATACATCAACAAAACACCTAAAATACATAAAGTAAAAAGACAAATTAATATATCAGGATAAGATAGGAAATACATTAAGTAAACATAGGTAATAAATACATAAAAAAATATGGGCTAATACCACTAAAAAACCCCAACTATCCAAAAAATGTCATTTATGTCCTCAAGTATTCAATATGATAATCCTAACACAAACTTGTGTTTCCATTAACTTTGTTAACATTGACTCTTAGTTTTCAACACTCAACAAGTTGACCACCGATGTGTCTGCTGATTTGGATTACTTTTACATCAATTACAAATAGGGATAATAATACCACTACAAAAGTCTAACTATCGAAAAATGTCACTTTTGTTCTCAAATATTATTTATTTTGACAAGATTTCTACTCTCCTCCATGTTCTATCCACAAATGCTCCATGAAATCTTTTATGAAAGCGTGATGTTCTGGACGCTCACAAATCATGTTATGTCTTGCCTAGTACTCCATGAGCGTCGAACTATTATTTTCGTGGGGATCTCATGTGATATTTGCATTAGACTCATTTTTAATTTTCTCCACTAACCCATCCCCACTTTCATACCAGTGATCTTTCACTATCATATTGTGCAAAATAATACAAGTTAATATAACCAAGTGACTGCAAGACCCAAAGATGACTCGGCCGTTTAAAAATGTTACATTTTCGTTGTAGTATGGCAAAGACTCTCTCAACATCCTTACGATAAGCCTCCTGGTACTTTACAAACAATTTCTTTTTATGGTTAATTGAATTGCTAATAGTCTTCACAAATGTAGCACACTCAAGATAAATTCCATTAGCCAAATAACATATTCTATCGTACATCTTATCATTTACCATAAATGATCTTCACAATCGATTCTCGTACTTCTTGATTGGATAGTGGGGATACTTCAAAAGTATTGATGTCATTGTTAGATCAATAAGGGAATGCATCAATCAATTAGTTAACTTTGTCAGATGATGACGATCAAGAAAATACGGTTGGTGTTTAAAGTATTTCAAGTGATCCTGAGAATAATGATATAATTCCTCAAGCAAATAGACAAAGATTTTATGAGGATTAGAGTGAGGGTGAGGATTATGATGTTAATGTTGATCCTAACGATCCTATTTGATTTTCTACTCTTAACTATTAACTAGATTAAGTAATTTCTAATAGGTTTTGGGTTGCTTAAGTTTGTGTTTATCTTATATACAAGAACAAGTCTATGGATCAGTTGTATTTATTTAGCAAACAAATTTATCTTGAGAATTTTTTAAGTGATATGATAACTGTTATCCACGATATGCATTGTTACTATCATTTGGTGTTTTAAGTGTTAATTTTAATATGAACTTTAAAAAATATTAAAGTTTTTATAATTTTACCTCACTTTTCGATTTATGTAAAATCACGATGTTGACTGCTTTTGCTAAAACCTCGAGGACAATGGTTGGTTCTTCCTGTGCCCAATGTATTGGCTTGCCCACCTAGTAACAATTTTTTCCACTCTCAGTGCATGTCATCAATTGAACCAATCATGCCTGGAAAGCCATGCATATTGTGCAGCATAATTAGGGAGCCGGTGAGTATCTTTTAGGGGTGGTAAATGGTAATTCGGTAAACGATTTACCATTTTACCGAACCGGTAACCGGCGGTAAACGGTAAATCGTTTACCGGCGGTATCGGCATCCGAGCGGGAAGTTGGGGGAGTCGGTTTACCGGACACAGTATCGGTAAATACCGACGGTAAATCAGTAATACCGATACCGAAATTCCCCCTCCCTACTCCACTAACATATAACATATACATCATTATTCACAAATATAAAATATTACATACATGAATGTAAGTAAGTATAGGCCTCAAAATATTGTAAATAAGAGTTAATAATAAATTATTAATTACAAAAATGATGAAAAAACTCAAAAAAATCAAAATATTACAACATCACCCCACTTCCAGAAATTCGGTTGGTAAATATTCGGTAAACCGACCGAAAAACCGACCGAAATCGCTTCTCACGGTATTTCGATAATACCGGTTTGTAACCGTTTACCGGTAATTCGGTAATCGGTAAATCGGTTACAAACCAGTATCGGTAACCAATTTGACCAACTTCAGTATGCCGAAACCGGTAAATTCGGTAAACAATTTACCGTTTACCAACCGAATCCCACCCCTAGTATCTTTCACGGTTGATGCACGCAAGTACTGAGCACCATAAATTAGCGGTGCTAATCAGTTTGATTCCGGTTAACCACTAACCGATATGGCAATTAGCGGTTAACCAATAAGAAAAAAAACTCATACCGATAACCAAATTAATAAGCCTTATCGGTTAACCGTCTATTATTGGTTCGGTTAGCGGTTAGGTTAGCGATTAACCAATAACAATTAACATGCTTTCCAACAACAATGACTATACTTAATCGAACTAAATATCAAATCACTAAAGTCGATTTAGTTTCACGAATATAATAAACCTAAGCAATAACCACTTGTAATACACAAATCATCATTCAATTAAGTTTAACAAGTGTCATTTAACATCATTTTCAATCCACAAACATAAGAATGACCAAGAGTACTAAATATTAAAGATGAATAATCATACAAGTAATTCAAAATAATTAAACCACATGTCTACATTATTAACATAAAATAAAAATTATAAGAAATAATATCGATACAAAATTCATCATAAATTCATAATTTAAATTCAATTTGCAATGCATAAATAAAAAATAATCAAACTTATTCATCCAATTAGCAAGTACTAGATATCAAATATAAGAACCACAAGATCCTAATCATTCACAAATATCAAAGAGAAAAAGATCAATAGGGTATATATGACGTTTGCTCTGTCGAATGCAAAGGGGAGTTAGAGAGAGGTGACTTTCGGGTTCTGACTCTTAAACACATTTGAGACTCTTGGTGGAGGGTTGTTTGCAATAGGTGGGAATCGGGATGTTTGGAATTGAACTTTAGTTGGTTTTGAATCTTGGAACTTTTCCATTAGCTAATTGTCCAAAACTATATGGTTATACAAGTAGGCGGTTATCGGTTTTCTTATCGGTTAACCACTAACCGATTGATCGGTTAGCGATTAACCAATAAGTAAAATACCACTAACCTAAACCGAACCAATAAAAAATTATCGATTATTAGTTAACCAATAACCATCCTTATCGGTTCGGTTATCGGTTAAAAGCCATAACTGACTAACCGTTTAGCAACCCTACCATAAATGTGGGTAATAGCCATGCAAAAATTCCTTAGGCACTCCAGTATGGTGTTCTCACCCATCTGACATGTCTCATTCAAAGAGTATGTCGAGCATCCATATGCAAGCATGCGAAAAGCACTAAGAATGAGTCGCAACCTTAACAATCTTTTTCTTGCTTGAAGTAGTTAACATAGTGAAAAACATCATTCATGAACTAGTTAACTAAGGCATAGGGTATCCGATATCGCCTTGTGGAGGCGCTAGAATCTTTGGTTGAAATAATCTTGCATCAAGCGATTGTGACCGTCTTCCTTGTTACGCCTCACTGATTTTTGTGATGACGAACTATGACAAGATAACGTTGCTTGATGTTGGTGCCTAAATTGTTCCGTACGTCATTAACATCTCTGGTTCATTGATGTATTCGACCGATCCAAATGTTGAGTCGGTCTGATATTTTTTAAAATATTCATAAAATTTATGAAATTGAAAACCGTACCACAATATTAACTTCGATTTAGACCATTCCAAATATCCGTGGGATCCTATTAGATCTAGGGCGGAACAAAATGTTGCACTCTAAAAAAGGAAACTCTTTCCTTAAAATCTGTTGGAGGGGTGAAGAAAATTTCCAGTGTTTTTTAAAGAGAAAAGCGGAGGTGGAATAACATGATTTTCAGATTTTACCTTTTGATTTCCCTTGATTTCCTCACTCAGAAAATTGACTCAGTAGTTACAAGACAGAAATACCTACAAAAATTCCTCTTTTTTAGTTTATTTATTCATTTTTGTATTTAAATATACTAAAACACACCATTCTCAGCCTTGGATTAGAAAATAATGGATCTAAGAGTGAGCAAAAATTAGCAAATTTAAAAATCAAGAAATTAAAATTATTAATTATATTCATAAAAAAATTAAAATTATGTTGGTTTGTTCAAAACATTGAACTACATGATGAAGAAAATCATATGACTTCTTTCACGTAACAGAACTTCCAGTTAAAGTGATCAACACTAATTAAGAAGAATTTAAGAATCCACTTAATCATTATTCACCTTTTGCTATCCATTAAGACGAATTTTCCTTCTTGTAAAACCTCATCGTCCATTTAGGGAAATTATGCTACAATGGATGAGACTTATACAATAAACTATTGACAACACTTAGTAAGTTAGTACTCAATTGACCATCTACAATTTGAATAGATAAATAGTACAAGCAACACTATTTAAGTTAGTGTTTGTACATTGTACATTCTTGATTTTACATAATAATAATTTAGATCTTCTGAATTAGCTTGAAATGATCTCCATTTTAAATTGTATAACAATAAATAAGAAAATGTGTAAAATTACACAAGAATTATTTACAATTTACTTACATTTTAAAATACTTGAAACTTGATGTGGACAATTTATGAGAAAAAATGCATGAATTAGTTGCGATTGTGTGTTGTATCATCATTATAAACGAATGTTATAATCGAAGTTCAAAAATTTGATGATTAGAGTATTGGTTTAGACTACGATGTATCGTATATAACTCAAATTAAGGTTGAACTTGAGATGCTTCTTTTAAGTTATGCCTTGAATGGAATTTCAATTCATAGATAATTACATCGTTATTTTTCAGGTTTGGTCCCTTTTTCAATGTTGTCTTGACAAGCACATGATGAGCGTGTCACGATTCTTAACAAACAAGTCCAGATACTATGTTGCTTACCCTATCCTAGTCTCCACATTAAAGATTTTTGTCACAAAATCATTGTTCAGCGGGCAAACTCATGCTCACTAAGCACATCATCCTTAGATTACTCTCGTGTCACATATACTCAGAAATCCATCTTTTGCTTCCTCAGTTAGTCCCTACTTCGCTCAAACCCTATGTATCATAAACATGAGAGGAGACGTGAGATACGGTTGTCGCATTGACGAGCAAGAACATAAATCTATAGCAGTATCGACATTGAGCCACACAAAACATACATACATACTACATTCGGTTAACTCGACTTGCAATCGTATTTGGATGAATATGTTAACAGTAAAAAAAATATAAAGGAATATAAAATAAAAAAACACAAGGAGACCATAATTTGTAATTGGTGGAAATTGGTTTTTGTTCTGTTTTGGCGTTTTGAGATTTTCCTACTTAACTAGAGTGAGGCAAACCCAACCAGCGTTGGTCTGGCTTCATGGGCGCAGGCAGACTGCAGAGCGTGAGCAGCGGGTAGGAATAAAAAGCCTGCAATTGCAAACCATAGCAGCAAAAACCCAGTCCTCCTCCCCTTTCTCTCCCTCCTTCTTCTCCAACATAACCGTCTCCTCCAAACAAACAAACAAAAAAGCTCATTACTCATTCAAAAAAACCCGAAAAAAGCCTTTCCTTCTCTTCCTTTTTTCCCCCTGATTCCCCCCCTTACATTCTCACTCTCTTCCTTCCTTCCTTCCACCCAAATATGGCTACCACCACTAGTCCACTACCATCGACGATCCTTTCACCTCCTCCTCCACCATTGCTGGATCTCGCCTCCTTCCTTTGATCGATCTCTGATGTGGGTTTTGGGTTTTTGAGCATAAACTGACAAAGAAACATTTTTTCTTTTCTTCTTCTTTCTTTTACGTAATTCGAATAGGCAGGGGGATCGGTTTTTGTTTTTTGTTCCTTTTGTCCTTCGTCTGTTGTTGTATCTGTCCCCCGTCTCAGTGTCAGAGTGAGCCTCCCTGAAGAAAAGAAAAAAAAAAATTCTGAAGAACGATACATTCCTCTAATCGTATCTCCATTGTAGACGTGTGTGTGCCTCTGTATTTCTGTGTGTTTGTTGATCGGGAAAGAGAAATAGAGGAAATCCTCTTTCTGGGTTTTACTGTTCTTTTGGTTTTTTTGTTTTTGGGTCGTCGTTTGTAGTGGTGATTGTGTAATCACACAGCAATGATGTTGAAACTGGGCGAGAGAAGAGCTGTGGGAGGAGAGAAGAAGGTTTCCGTCGACAGCTCCACCAGTAGCAGCAGCAGCAGCGGCAGGTTGGCGACGACGATGATGAAAAGAGGCGGCGGCGGCGGCGGTGGCGAGGCAGAGCTCTCGAATCATCATCAACTCCCCTCCGCGACGTCATATTTGAGCCTCCACCATCAGAACCACCAGCGTCATCAGAATCGGAATCAGAGTCAGAATCTTCACCACCACCACCACCACCAGAGCAGAGTTCCCCCTTCTCCACTGCGATCCTCGCCGGAGTACTCCCCTTCCTCCGCCTCCTTCTCCACCCGTTCCTGCTCTTCCGACGACGCGTCGTCGCCGTATCTGCACCACCACTCCTCCGCCGGGCATTACCTCGACGGCCTCTCTCTGGATCATCATAATAAATTCCCCTGTAACGAATCCCACCCTGAAATCAATGCCAACAAGATGGTGGATGAACTGGGCTTGTCTCAAAAATTCTATAAATTGAACGTGAGGGACCAACAGCCTGGACTACCTACCGCTACCAAATTGAAAGGCGGATTCGAGATTGACACCGACCCGAACGGGTTCGGGTCTCGAGATGGGTTTAATCTCGGTGGAAACGCTGGACCCTATAACACGGAAAACTATGGGGTACTGTATGGAGGTTTCAACAATGGCGGCGGTTCTAGCTTTGAACCATCGTCCCCTGGTGGAGGAGTCTCTTTCAGTTTCGACGGTACTGGTAACAAGTATGCGTTCGCTGATTTCAATGGCGGGTACCCGAGTGGAGTTTACGATTCCATGGGTTCACTCGTCGCTCGGAATCAGTTCAGTGATCTCATCCAGGGTGGTTATACGGACGGCGATTGGAGTAACCGGGAGATTCCGCTTCCGCCGCCGACCAACCCATCTCCGACGAGGCTCGGCGACGCCATTGCTTGGTCGAAGCAGCATGCCATGAATCCCAATGGTTACTACAGCAGTCTCAGCAGCAAGGTCCCTGAGTTGGTACAGTCCAAGATGGACGCTTGCAGAAAACGTTTGATGTTGACAGAATGGGCGAGAGCCATGGCCAACAATGGCGGTCGTCAACCCTTCACTATGGGTTCGGCGGCAGATGTCGATGCTTTTGGCAGCGACGACCGTGGTTTGATCGTTCAAGGGAAAAGTTTCAATCAATCCAGAAACTACACCAACAAGGCACGTGGTGATTCGAGGAGAAGCAGCAGGAAGAGCTCCATCACAGCTACAGAGAACCTCTGTTCCTTTCATGGGGGAGCTGGGGTTTACGAGAATGGTCATCAGAGGCCAAGTGATTACAGCCTGCTTCCACCACTGTCGAGCTTTCCCGGGGTTGATTCTCCATTTTGTCAGGTTCAGGGCCATGTTTACTTGATGGCTAAGGATCAGAATGGCTGCCGTTTTCTGCAGAGGATTTTTGATGAGGGAACTAGTAGGGATGTGGTTATGATTTTCGATGAGATCGTCGACCATGTTGTTGAGCTGTCACTGAATCAGTTTGGCAATTATGTGATTCAGAAGATGTTGGATGTTTGTGATGAAGAGCAGAGGTTGCAGATTGTGTTTGTGCTGACCAAAGAACCAGGGCAGCTTGTTAAGATTAGCTTGAACACTTACGGGTAATCTTAGCAAAAACCTTTCCACTCCCATTTGTTCATACTTAACGAAATAGTTGATTACAGTTGTTTTGATTTCTCATATTGTTGTTGCCAATGTGTGAAAACCAGGACGCGTGTTGTACAAAAGCTAGTTGAGACTCTCAACACAAGGCATCAAATTTCATTGGTGGTGTTGGCTTTGAAGTCTGGTCTACGTGATGTGGTTGAGGATCAGAACGGGAATCATGTTGTGCAGAGTTGTTTGAAGTACCTGAGCAATGACGATAACAAGGTACATTTTCCCACAGTTCTTAATCCATCTTTGCATGAAGCTTAAGAGGGAACTTTTATTCTATCTATTCTGTTTAAGATAGGATTACCATTAAATGTTGGCTAGGAAAGCCAGTTATGTTAGAGACCTTGACTTGGGTGGTACAATGTTTACATGCTTACCTGAAGTCACATATGTCAATTCTCATTGATGAGTTTCACACATAATAACTGCAGCTTAAGTTTGCTGGATTAATGGCACAAGAGTTACTCTTCTCTGCATTCAATGTTCAGCAAGTTCAAACCTTTCCATGCTTCTTTTCTTGTTACAGAAGTTATGTCATTGTTTGTTATCCCTCTCTCTATTTGATGTATTCAGCGATGTTGGTTCCTTCTCGGTATGTCTAGCACGCTAAGATTCGGTATTACACTGGATGTATGGAGATTTCTGAACGTGTCTGTTGCAATTTCTGCAGTTCATCTTCGATGCTGCTTCCAAGTTCTGTGTTGAGATTGGAACCCACCAGCATGGTTGTTGTGTGATGCAAAAATGCATTGATCACTTCAAGGGGAAATATCTGGATAAGTTGGTCAGTGAGATCGCTAAGCACGCTCTTCTCCTCTCTCAAGATCCATTTGGGTAATTCTCAAACACTTTTCGAGTTTATTTTGATGTGGTTCTATTTCTTTTGACCGTCTTCCCAATCTTCTTAGTTAGTAAATAAAGCTTCATGCAAGTCAGAACTGATGCACTGATCTGTAATAAGAGGAGTATGCTGAAATCATAGGAAACGAATGCCAGTTTCAGCTATGGTTGAAATTCTATCTTCTTTCGTTGTTGTTGAAATGTCTTCCTTCTTATTCATTAAGCATCTTCAGTTTTTCTGGCCCATTACTGTGTATCATACACGAGGCAGACGAGGTTTCGCTTTCGCCCCTCATTCTGACTGGACTTTCTATGCGTTGTGCAGAAACTATGTGGTTCAACATGTGATAGAGCAAGAGAAGCCAGCGATCACGGCGAAACTGCTGCCCCAATTCGAAGGCCACTTTGTGCAACTCTCGATGCAGAAATGCAGCAGCAATGTGGTGGAAAGGTGCCTCAAGCACTCGGAAGAAAGCAGGCCGAAGATCATCCACGAGCTGCTCTCCGTGTCTCACTTTGATCAGCTTCTGCAAGATCCATTCGCCAACTATGTCATTCAAACCGCTCTCATCTTCACCAAGGTCTGTCTGCAAAAAAAAAAAAAAAAAAAAACACTTGAAACATATGTTACTCTTGATGCACAGTTAATCACTTGTGTGTTATCATATTTTCTTTTGCTGCTAATTCAACCTCCAGGGTCCCCTCCATTCTCTGCTGGTGGATGCAATTCGGCCGCATTCAAGGCTGCGCACGAGCCCGTATTGCAAGAGGATCTTCACCAGAAACATGCTGAAGAAATGATTGCTCGACGCCGCCGCAGGGGTTCTGCAAAAGCTTTTTCCTTTTTGCTCTTCTACTAATAAAATGCTACCTGTTTGTTCTATCTTAATTCTACGTTAAGCTACTGCTATATTACTACTGCCTTGGTGTAGAATCAATGTCTGTACGAAGTCGCGGCTGCTGGTGGTGGCCGCGAAGTTAGCTTACATCCCCATTCTGGAAGTTCCAGAAATGGCTGGCCTCTCTAGTGTAAGCCACAGTTTTGATTTAGGGTTCCATTTTGTGCTGTGACGCCATGGATCGGTGTACTGTTTCTGGGTTTTGTTGTCATGTTGTTGTTCATCTAAAACTCTCATCAGCCAATGTACTTGTTTTGGTATTAATTTAGCACCAGATTTTGCCGTCTTTCATCTTCAAAAACAGAGAGTAAACAACAGAAAATGGTTCATTCTTATTTCAAGATCTATAGCAGCAGCAGCCATGGCTGAACCAAGAACTCACAACAGCAGCAGGGAATCAACAAACACAAACGCAGCAGGAAACCAAACAGAAATAGATAGAACAACACACACAGAGGCCATGGTGTTTTCCCCCTTTCTACTCATCCTGCTCGCCAAGAAGAGCGAGGAGCATGTTCTCGTAGTCGCCGCCGGTATCCTTGGCAATGGCTTTCGCCAGAGGGACGCTGTGCCTCCGCTGGTACTCTTCCTTGATGACCTTCAGATCCACCTCCGCCCTGGTCGCCACAACCCGAGTCAGCGCGCCTTCGTCCGTCCCCGTCTTGGCGATCGCGCCATGGATGACCTCGACGAAGTAGTCCTCGGGGCGAGTCAGGCACTTGATCGTCGACCTCAGCAGCCAGAGGAACTTATCCTCGCCGCCGTCGTCCGATTCGAGCGCCTTCCCGATCTCGTGGCCGAATTGCGCCTTGTACTCGTTCAGCGCGGCGTTGACCTGGGGTTTGCTCCTCGTGGAGAGGATCCGCACCACCTCGTCGTCGGCGAACTGCTTGCCCTCGAACTTCTCGTGGAGGATCTTGGCCTCCTGCTTGGCGAGGGTCATGTTGACCGCGTCGCCGCCGCCGTCGTAGCGGTGGCAGGCGATGAGGGAGAAGAGGAGCTTGCGGAAGTCGCCGGTGGTGCGGTGGGCGACGTCCTCCTCGATCGACTTCTTGAATCGGGCGTGGTAGGCGGCCTTGGCGTCGAGGAGCTGGGCGGAGGATCTGGTGCAGGCGAGCTCCATGATGACCTGGTTGCTGGAGGTCCACTTCTTGGTGGCCTCGTGGGCCAGAACGGCGTCGCGCTCCCCAGGGGTGAGGGTCCAGAGGAGGACGGCGCGCTGGAAGTCGCTGGAGAGCTCGTCGTCGAGATCCTTGAGCAGATCCTCGCCGTAGGTGGAGCTGTAGACTTCTCTGATCAGCTTCCGCTGGGCAGCGTTCCGGTGCGGCAGGATCGAGATGATCAGCGCCTCGTTCGTCCCCCATCCTGATCGTTAAACACACACCGAATCAAAAAAAATCACGATCAACGGACGAGATAATCTTGAGATCTACCGACAATAAATTGAGATAGAAGAAGTAACGACGGCGATCTAAACGATCGGATCTGAATATCTGATCGTCGGAAGAAGGGACCGTGCTAATTGATCCGTCGGAGAGAAGAAAGGAAAACAGAGAGGGACGGGGGAGGATTAACGGGGGGAAGGGAAGGGGGAAACCTGAGAATGCCTTGTGGAGCTGCTCGGAGTCTTCAGCGGCGTCGGGAACCTGGTGAGGAACAGTGAGAGTAGCCATATCGCTGCGAAAATTTGTTTATCTAAACGGTCGTCGTCGTCGTCGTCGTCGTCGATGATCTCTCTGCAATGGGTCTCGTTTGTTTCTTTGCAATCTCTCGCTACCGCTCTCACAGCTCTATTTAAGAATGGGCGGTGGCCATTGGCAGGGTGCTACGTAGCCGCGTTGCCGATTCGCAATAAGAATAATTATTATATAATAAATTAATAATATATATGTATTTAATTAAAAGATAAGACACGCTAGTGTGGTCAGTGTAACGCATATGCTGCATATTCTTTGCACACTAATCGTACATACTAATCTACAAAATAATAAAAATTATATATTTTGATAAAATAAAATTTATAGCACTCGGTTGTTACCACCTAGTTATGTACCTCCTTTGTTTTTCAATCCAAATTTTCAAACAAAATTAACAGAAAAAAAATAAAGTTAGAACCGAGTATATGTATAGGCAAAGGCGTAGCCAATAATTCAGATAAGGTAGGTCCCACATTAAAATAAATAAAAAATTATTAATATTTTACAATGATATGTGGCGTGTTTACACATTACGAAGAAATATCTAAAATACATTGATCATCTAAACTATCAAGAATGCCACTTTCAATGTACACTGTCAAAAAATCATTCATAATGAGTAGTGATGAAAAAGGAGTGAGAAAGTAGAGAGAGGATTCTCCCAAATTTTAGGCTGCTAGGTTTCCGATCAAGCGTGCCGGTCGCGCCGGCATCTGCGCCGGTGTGTGAGTGAGGTGGGTTTTCTACAATGGCATCTTCTTCTTCATTGCCGCCGGACACGAATTCGTTTCAGGGAGTCCCGATGAAACCCTGGGCGGACCTGTTCGGCATCTCGGAGGCGAATCGGCTATGCTACGTCAAACCTGAGGTTTACAAAGGAGGACTCCGTATGCCCAAAACGGTCATTGACGAGGGTGCGGCTCGCTGGAGGCACAACCTGGTCAGACAGTTTCTTCATGAGGCCCCATCGCTTCCTGTGCTACGGAGGTGGGCAAATAAGATCTGGGGAAGAGATGGGCTGGTTCGAGTTTCGCTTCTGGGGGATAAGATGCTCCTGATACAGCTGCCTACCCAAGCCACCTGTGATTGGATACTGGAGAGTGGCCCCTGGTTCTACTTCGACAACCTGCTATACCTGCGTCCATGGAAGCCGGGGATTAACGTAGAGGATCTGGGACGGAAGGCTTTGCCTATCTGGGTAAGGTTCACTAACACTCCTCTTGAGTATGTTAATTTTCAAGCGCTAAGTCGAATGGGGAGTTGGTTGGGTGTACCTCTTGGTGTCGACCAGACTACTCGCCTAGGTGGACGTTTAGGGGTAGCGAAGGTCTTAGTGGAACTGCGTGCTTCTGGGGACTTTCCTGATCATGTCCAGTCTGGCCTGATGATGATACTTCAATAAGGGTGGGAGTGGAATACAGTTTTCTTCCTCCTGTTTGTCAGGGGTGTTGTTCTTTTGGGCTGGATTGTGGTTCTGCTAATAAGCAGGGTGAGAAAATATGGGTGAGGAAGGATAACAAGGTGCAGGAGAGGATTGAAGTGGTGGAAAGCAAGTCAGGGGGAGTATATTCAGTTAGTCCAGTTGATAAGGTGGGAAATGGGGCTGATGAACACAATATGGGTAAGGGTAAAGAGAAGGTGATAGACCAAGTGGCAACTCCAATTAATACCACTGTGATGGTTGGCTCAAATCTGATCCAGTGTACTAATCTGGATACTCAGTTTCAGGAGGCTGCTCTATCTCCTATTCTACCTTCAGAGGATGATTTTCAGCTTGTGGTGAATGGAAGTAAAAATCGGGTTTGGTCTCCTAGTCCCAGCCCTAAGAGTGTATTGAAGATTGCTCTGAATTTTGAAGTGTTTAACAAGTACAATGAGGATGATGTTATTAAACTTCAGGAAGCTCCAAAAAAAGGTAGTAAGAAGGGTGGGAGGCTTACCTCCCCAGCCCCACCATGAAGATCCTCTTCTGGAATGTTAGAGGGTTTAATAAACCCTCTAAGAGGCAGAGTTTTGCCCAAACTCTGCGTAGTTATAATGTAGATATAGTGGTTATAATTGAAATTAGAATAAGGCAGCACAAATCTGAGGAAATTGCTGAGAGCTTTTGTCCTGGTTGGCATAGGTTTTTGAACTATAAAGAGAGTGATTTGGGGAGACTATGGGTCTACTGGAATCCTGACAAAATTACAGCAAGAAACCTGTTGCCTGGTAAAAATTTTGTGCATCTTTTAGTCCAATGTAGTGATGGGGAGTCTTGTTTTATCACGGGGGTTTATGGTTCAAATGAAGAGGCTGAACGTCGAGTTACTTACACTGATATGACCCCTTTAAAGGTTTCTTCTATACCTTGGATTGTGGGGGGCGATTTTAATGCTGTTCTTGGCCCCTCTGACACGTCAAATTTAACTGATATGACTAACTGTATGGGTGATTTTAAAGGTTGGGTGTCTACTATAGAGTTGTTTGATCATAGATCGGTTGGGCCACACTTTACCTGGACAAATAGACAGGAGAGGAATCCTATTGCGAGACATCTAGACAGAGTGTTGGTGAATGAGAAGTGGTTTGATGCTTTTCCTGAGTGTATGGTGGAAGTGGTCATTGGAACCTTCTCAGATCACTGTGGAATCTTAGTATCTACCAAGCCTGATCAGGGTACATTACCTAAACCTTTCAAGTATTTTGACTTTTGGTCAGAGCATCCTGATTTTATGCAGATTGTTAAGGAGGGGTGGGATACTCAGGTCCAGGGGGTTCCTATTCATCGGGTTAAGGTCAAGTTAAATGAGGTGAAGAAGGGTTTGAAGAAATTAAATAAAGAAGCCTTCTCAGATCTGAGTGGTCAAGTACAAATGGTTGAGAGACTATATCTAGCTGCTCAGCAGGAGGCTCTAAGGTCTCCTTCCACATATAATTTCTCAGAGGTTACTGCTCATCAGAAGAAGTGGGAGGAATTGAAGGTCGCCGAGGAAGGGTTGTATTGGAGAAAAGCCAGGATTCGAGCTCTAACTATGGGAAACAGAGGCACCAGGTATTTTCATCAATCTGTTAAAATCAAGACCGCAAAGAAGGCTATCAGGAAACTTGTTTTGGATTCAGGAGAGGAAATTACAGATGTTAAGCTTATAGCTGGGGAAGCAGTTCAATTCTATCAGTCTTTGTTTGGGATGGTGGATCAGGGAGTGAGTCCAAATAAGTTGGAGCTGGAGGCTCTGGTCACCAAACACTTGTCTGTTGATGAAAAGGAAATGCTTTGTGGGGCTTTCACTTCTGATGAGGTTAAATCAGTAGTCATGCACATGAATCCACATCGAGCCCCTGGCCCTGATGGATTCTCTGCTGGCTTCTTTCATAAAGCTTGGTCCATCATTGGGGAGGACATCACAGCAGCAGTTCTTGATTTCTTTTCTTCTGGCAGGCTGCCTAGCAGTGTTAATTCTACTGCTGTTTCACTTATACCTAAGGTAACCTCTGCCTGTAAACTCAAAGATTTCAGGCCTATTTCATGCATTAATATACTCTACAAAGTCATTGCTAAGCTTCTATCTAATAGACTAAAGAGAGTTATCCCAAGTATTATAAGTAGTAATCAATCATCTTTTATAGAAGGGAGGAGAATTGTGGATAATAATCTTATGGCTCAAGAGCTGGTCAGTAGTTATAGTAGAAAGAACCTTTCCTCTCGCTGTGCTATTAAAATTGATTTGATGAAGGCTTTTGACTTGGTGAACTGGGATTATCTTTTCCTAATGATGGAAACTATGGGATTCCCTGTTAAATTCATGTACTGGATTAAGCTCTGTGTTAAAACTTCCAAGTTTAGTATTTGCATCAATGGGGGGCTTTGTGGGTTCTTTGGGGCAAAGAGAGGTGTAAGGCAGGGGGATCCTCTCTCCCCCTACCTTTTCACCATTGCTATGGAAGGACTGTCTTCCCTACTAAACAGAGCTGCTGTAAGGAAGCAATTAGTTTACCATCCTCAGTGCAAACATATAGGGTTGACTCACCTTTGCTTTGCAGATGACCTTCTGATCTTTACAGAAGGCTCTGCACAAAGCCATATGCAAGGTTCAGGAGTTGTTGAATGAGTTCTATTCCCTTTCTGGACTTAAATGTAATCCGAGTAAATGTGAAATTTATTTTGGGGGGCTATCTGGGCTTTACAAAAGCAATGCCCTTCAGTTGTCTGGTTTCCGGTAGGGAAAACTCCCTGTCAGGTATTTGGGACTTCCATTATTCTCAGGGAAGCTCTCCTCAGCTGACTGTGACAAGTTGGTTGAGAAAATCACTCACAAGATTGGGACCTGGCGTGCAAAGAAACTGAGTTATGCAGGTAGGCTTGAGCTGATTAATTCAGTTTTCATGGGCATCCTGCAATACTGGATGCAAGTTTTTCTTCTGCCTAAAAAGGTTTTAAAGAAGGTGTATGCTGTTTGCTCGAGGTTTTTGTGGCATGGGGGAAGTGAGGGTAGAGCAAAAATAGGTTGGGAGAGAATGGCTCGACCAAAAAGAGAGGGGGGACTTGGCATCAAGGATCTCCTGGCTTGGAATAGAGCCTGTTCTATTCGAATGGTTTAGCTTCTTCTGATGAAGAGTGGTGCAATTTGGGTGGCCTGGATGTGGCGATACAGGATTAAACATGGTAGTGTTTGGACCATGAATGTGAGTCCAAGTAGTTCTTGGGCATGGAGAAGGGTCCTCAAGCTTAGACCATTGCTTCAGGCTCATCTAACACTGACTGGTGATACTCCTAGTTGGGATGGTAAATTGATGCCTGTCTATAAGGTGTCCACTGTGTGGAATTCTTTGCGTACTGAACATCAAAGGGTGGAGTGGGCAAAACTGGTTTGGGGGGAAAAAGCATTTACCTAATAACAGTTTGCTAGTATGGCTGGTTTTGTTGGATGGTATTACTACCAGAGATAAGCTGGTGAGATGGGGTAAGACATTGGATGGCTCCTGCTGGCTTTGCAGGGGGTCGGTGGAGACCAGGGATCATCTATTTTTTCAGTGTTCTTACTCTTTACAGGTTGTTTCATGCTGGCGAGAAGGTCATCTTCTTTGTCGACCGAGTTGGCAGGGAAGTGTGCAGGCTGCTGTTGCCTTGAACAAGAGGGGAACCTCGACAGG